AGCGGGAGGGGGGAAACGCCGCGGCGCACAATGAATTGCAAGTTGATGTGTCAGCACTAGCCTTATCTTCAGGGCAGATGTTTTTATTTTCTTTGGCTTATAATTCCTTACTAAATGTAGTATTTCATCTCGAAGTACTCCGTCTTTGATATGATTTAAATCAAATTCCTCGTCATTATAATTCGCTTTCGATAGTGAAGTAACAGAAGTTATTGAAAATGAAAAAATTTCGATTGACAAATTAGTCGGTATTCTCGACACAGCAATTATAAGACTTGAACAGCGGAACTTTGTAACTGAACGAGAAATTATGTCTGTTTATAGAATTAAAGAGAATGTATTATCGCATAAAAAAAGAAGCAACTTAAACAACTTACATTGAAAGAAATGTTTAATAAAGTAAACAAATAAATATTAAGCTTTTTTTTTTTTTTTTTTTTTTTTTTTTTTTTTTTTTTTTGTAAATTTTGATACCCTTTAGATCATAATTGTTCTTTATTTCATAAATTGCAGTTTCATATTTTTTATTTTATAATTTCTGAATTTTGTTGCAGGAAAAATGCTCTAACGCATTATACACGAGGAATGATCGTACTTAGCCCGCCAACATGCCTATAGCTCTCAACAAGAAAGTTTTTTCTCTCTTCTCTGAAAACCACCTTATACTATACCTCCTTGAGTTTTACTTGCGCTGAACTCCCAGGGAAATATAATTCTTTCACTCCTACATAACAAAGTATCCATCTCCTGACCCTGATGAAAAGACTTCTTTTACTCTTTGACCACTGGAGTGACCAACGAGGCTGCAACCGGAATTATTAACAAAGGCACAGGATTGCACTCTGAAAACTCATCCTAGACAAAGAACCTTTATGCCACCTTATCACAGCATGTTTAAATTCATGAAAAGTGCATGAACAAAGGCTAACCTCAACTACAATCTCAAATGAAGTGGCGTAAATAAACAAGGTGAAGTGATGATGACACACATAATGACTGTGAATCTGGAGGGCTGCAAATGGTCTTGAAGTGCCTACTATAAAGTAAGAGACTATAGTCTCATTCTTCACATTTATTCCCAGAGTGAACATAAGCCCACCATTAGTCGTTATACAGTATGATTTCACATATACACACAAAAAGCATTTTAAAGCTGCTGGACATATTATACCAAGTGTTCTCTAGATAAAGATCCAATATGAATCACTCTGCAGACCCAGGACACAGGTCCATTAACCAATACAGGTATGATGTTCACTGCACTATAAGAGTTTTTGATGGGAGCTGTATTAATAGGATTCTTGCTGTAGGTTAGTCCTTTAATCACTCACTTGTAAATAATATGTGTTTAGTCATCTTCAAGTAAAGCAATAATTCCATGACTCATAACACCATTCCCACAAATATAATTCATATCTGTTATATCCATATAGAAACACAACTGTCACACTACCATCAATCACATTTCAATTATGACGCTGACCTCACTCTAAATCTTGGTAGTTTATATTAACATGCTAAATGCTATGGGGATCATAGGTGACTGGTACTGAGTTTGTTCATAGTGCCACAATGGTCACTGATGGCCAGTGAAACCAAGAAGGAAACACATAATTCAAGTAAATTTTTGGTGTTTTTAAATTCTTCAATATTATCATTGTTACTAAAATGGTGTGAAAAAAATAATGGAACACAGAACATACAAAAATAATCACACACACACACACACACACACACACACACATATATATATAACACATTGTTCAATAAGTTCCAGGACTAACTAAAAAAACAACATCCATTTCACAAAATTCACTCATCAGCATATCACCATCATGAGCTATGCAATCATTCCAATGCTTTTCTAACTTTTCGATATCATGCTTGTAAAATGATCTGTCCTCGTACACAAAATAAGCTTCATTTTGAGATCAGCAAACAGCCAGTAGTAGCTGGGGGCTAGATCTGGAGAGTAAGTATGGTGGGTCGCAAAGCAGAGTGAAGCCCAAATCATTCAATGTAACTAGTGTTTGCATGGACTTTTGGCACAGGGCATTGTCTTGATGGAAAATGAATTTTCTTCTTCATGTGGGGTCCTTTTTTTGCGATTTCGTCCTTCAGACACACCAATAACTCACTGTAATAAGCGCTATTGATAGATTTTCTCTTTTCAAGATAGTCAATGTTTCGCACATCCCAAAACACTGATACCATGACTTTGCCAGCTGAGTGTTGTGTTTTTGGACATTTCGGATGGCTTTCACCAGCTGCACGCCACTCAGCTGACTGCCGTTTTGACTCCAGAGTGAAATAATGGATCCATGTTTTGTCTATTCTCACATACCAATGCAAGAGATCCTGTTTATTGCGAGTAAACAGTGTCAAGCAGCTCTGTGAATCGTCGACTTGTTGTTGCTTTTGTTCCATTGTGAGCACATACGGCACCCATTTGGAAAACACTTTTTTCATGCCCAACTTTTCATGTAAAATTGTATACGCACTTCCAGTTGATATGTTTACCATCTCGGCAATTTCACGAACTTTCACTTTGCGGTCATTCATCACAATTTTCAACACTTCTTTCACACTTCCGGAGTGACTGCTTCATTTCGCCTTCCTGAGCATGCCGCATCATTTGTATCCGTTTAACCGCCCTACAAATCAGCATGCCAACAGCAAATGGTTGTTTTCGATGGAGCAGAGTCTGGATAACATTTTTCAAGCCATTGTTGAGCTTGCACAGTATTTTTGGCCATTAAATAGCAATGTTTGATCAACACTCAAAAATTTGTTTTTCTCCATTTTATCTACAAATGCACAAGTAGTATCACTTCACCACCGTAGCTTCGCTGTTTCGGGTCTGAATGCCATGAAAATCAGACAAGTGTCATTTGATGGTTAGTTCTTTCGAACAATGAAGTCAAACTGATATTAATAACGCCATCTGTCAGCGAGTCCTGGGACTTATTGAACGATGTGTTAAATAAAACATGTAAACTTAAATAATATGCACACATTTTGCAAAGTGCTGTATTGAAACACTTCAAGCAAAAGAAAGGTGAACCAATGCTGCTGCCATAGTATGTCACTACTTTTTGGTACAGTTTTTCTCTCTTTAGCCTACCTAGGATTTTCAAATTTTTTCATTGCACTTTTTACAAAATTGTCCTATGACTTAGCTTTTCCAGATACTTTTTATAAGTTCATGAAGCAATAAAAGTTCATGATGTGGTAAAAGCTGATACGTTCATTAACTTCTCTGTTAGATAATATTTCACCAAAATACTTCATGCATAATGAAGAATTCATGTTGACCAAATGGGTAAGCCATGTGAAATTAGCATTGCAATCAATGAGTTAAAAATCTTAATACCAATAAACTACTAGATCAATTGATACTTTTTTGCATACAGCAGAAAAAGTATGGAAACCTTACAACTGCATAACCTTACTATATAATCCTTACCACTTACCACTTGCCATACTCATTGTAACAAAATATAAGCTATTCTCATAATGAAAACCCTTTTCTTCCCCCCTGCTTATATAAAAGATGGCTTTCTGCAAAATGTCTCTGAATACTTTTTATACAAAGTGATTCAAAAAGGAAACCATAACCACCACAAGTGAGTAATATATTTTATTTACATGCATTTCCCAAACATGATAATTCAATCAGAATATGCAACATTATTTCCCCCCCCTAACAAAAAAATTAGGCCCTAAATAGTTGAGCATTGTTGTTCCAGAATCCCACTGCAGCACATCTGAGCTATGACTAGTCTCCCTTTTCATATATATGAAGAATGTACATAAACCCATATTAGGCGCTGTATACATCAGCACAATATCACTGCTCTACCCCCCCCCCCCAAAAAAAAAGCTATTAAAAGTTGCTAAATACATTTTACAAAGTGTTCTCTAGATAAACCTCCTCTGAAGACTAAAAACACAAATAGGTCAACAGTTCAGGTATAATACCAACATCCATAATTTCCAGGTATTTTTCAAATATGGAAACTGAATATGAATATATAATGCTATTCACAAATAAAAATTCAGGTCCCCTTGAAAAATCATTTTGTGTACCCATGTAGTATATCTGTGTGATCTTTAGTTTGTTACTTCAGAATAGGAACTTCAAGGTACTTTACACTGCTTGATTTGCCTCATAACCATGGAAACAACAGCTGTAGCAGATGATTTGAGCAATTTTTTTCTAGCCAATTCCTCTCCATTTAGTATGTTTAACTTCATGAAAATTGCATGACAAAGGTTAACATTTTCCAGGGATTTTTACACAGTTAACATTTCTCAGGGATTCAAAATTATTTTTAATTTCTGGCTTTAAGAGTTTCCAGGTTTTAGTGTTACTAATATTTATAGTGAAAGCTTTCCAATTTTCTATGTCATTACAATATACGATCAACTGCAACATTTATCAAAAGATATGACACAACTGAAATACATTATGAAAGCTAACATACATGAAAAAATGATTTACATAAAATGAATTACTAGCCTAATGTTATATAGCAGAGGTGTACTTTAAAAGAGTTATAACTTAAAAGACTAAGTAACTCAAAACTAACATGTATTAAATTAGTCAATATCCTTGTAAATTTAAAATTTTAATAACATGAATACCATTTTAGTTAGACCAACAGCAATTATATAATTATCATTATTTACCATCTAGTTAAAAATTTGCCTTCTTACACTACACACTTTGATAGCATAAGTTTATAACAGTTTGCAATTTTACATTGCAATAATAAATCAGCCTACATCTTCAAAATTTGCTTTTACAAATCAGAACAATATTTTTAGGATATTTTACTCACACTTCTAAATGTTACATCATTAAAAATTTTATAACTACAGAGAAAAAGTGTATTTTGCAACAAATACACTTTTTCTCTGTAGTTGCATAATTTTTAATAAAAGGAGATTTAATTTTTTTCAAAATTCAAAAGGGAGAATATCTGATTTTGTTTTACCTAAAGAGCTCTCAATTAAATCTGGACTTGTTTTCAAAACTGAGCTGTATACATCTGAAACTGATGCAGAACACAATATGCATAGCATTTTCACTATTTCCATTGATTTCTGAAAGGGAAGAAAAATCTAAAATTTAGGTGGAAAAACCTTAGTAGACTGCATTAAAATATATTAACGTTTCATAAAAGTTCATAAAAGCACTGAGGCAGAAAGATAAATGCAATTTTAAATAAAATTTAAGCAACTTTTTAGAAGCATTAGCTGTTTCAACTTTCTGATAAGAACAAGAAAACAAAGTCTAGTAACAAAAGTTCATGTAACAGAAGCATCTTTAAATAGATAAATAAATAAAATAATATGAAATAAATAATGAAATATAAACCAATGATGATACCACAATATTAACTATGATAAATATAAATACCAATTTTGTTAAAAATGAGTACCAAAAAAATTTTTTTCCATAACTAAAGATAATTTTTTTGGTCATTACTAAGGAAATAGCTTATCTAGGCAGTGCTGGCATATCACAATAACACACAGCATAGGCCCTGCAGTGGTATGCAATATTTAATACTAGACATTTCATTTTTGTATTCCTCTTAAAATATTCCAAAATTTGAAGAGAACAACTTTGAAACAGACTGGAAACTGAAGGAGAAAAAATAATAATGTTGCATTATGACTGTCTGTGGAAGAAAAAAGATAACACCCATCAAACGCTGGTAATACGTGTTTCATATACTAGAAAGACAGATGGCTAAGTTAACTGATTAAAACAAGGCAACCTGTGGGCTATCTAGCTGTGGGAAGTGGTGCTTGCACAAGAACAGTTTAATCCTTTTGGGATAAAAGGCACAAATGCACATGTAACAGCCAGAGATAGCTGTTTCTTTCCTAAGCATCTCTCCAGAGGTGGACGATTTTTTGCTACCAGGCCTAAATCCACAAAATTACAGAAGGATGAATGTGTTAATTAATACTGTTCTGAAGATTATATGAGGTATATGCTTTATATTTTTTTTATTTACATACTTCATATACTTAAGTTGTGTTTGGTTTAAATATTTTTATTTTGCATATTAATTCTTTTTCAATATTTACTTCTCTGTTAGCGACTTTTGACATTACACAATTGACAACAAACATTTTACTTAAAATTCATTTCTAGTGTGATAAATTTCAAAGCAGGGATCTACACACACTCCTTGCACTTATAATAGCTCATTTACCTTTTGGAGGATTTTGGCAAGAGTGTGAAGAAACAAAGCATTGCCATAAACAACAATTTAGAGACATAGCCCGATTTAGATTTACATAATTTGTTAAAGATTTTCAATGCTTTGATACTGTAATGCTCAAAACAGGAATACTGCACATACACAAGGTGTAATTCTTGATTTGATGGACTGTAAACCCAAAAAACAAATGCCTGAGGGGGGAATTTCACTAACAACCAGGTTGCATTTAAGGAAAGAGGCAACACTCTTAAAAAATAATAACAATATTCAATAAATACTATGTGAGCATTTAAATAGTCTTCAGGAAGCCTGCGAGTCCAGAAAATGCCTTTCACCTCATGTTTATATAATCAAAATCCTAGTGCATGTGAGTCATTTTTGTCTAGTTTTGAGTAGAAAGTCAAATCTCCATGTATCTCAGATCCTATGAACACCATCTTGTGCCGAAAATATTAGTTTCTAAAATGTTCAAACTCTGAATCAAATATGTGATAGGTGAAGGTGAACAAGAAAATGCTCTGTCTAACCAGTGTGCCAGCTGTGATAAGAGCATGCTTCAGGCTAGCACATCTGCACGAAAGTCAGGAGTGAAAGGGTTAAGAGAAACTGCCTCATATTCATATTAATCATGGGAACAACCAGAAAAACTAAAATTGTCCCAAACCAATCACTGGGATTTGAGTTTAACTACACTGATCAGCACCTTATTGCTTGGCTACTGGTGGAACAGAAAGATAGATAGATAGATAGATAGATAGATACAGAGGTCCTGAAAGAATACATACATCAACACTATCAAGCACTTTCCTATGTTTATTTTCTTCAACCATTGTTGGTTGTGCTTTCAGAGTGCATATTGTTTTCTTGTGAAAATATTTTCCTCCATGCACAATAAAGATTTCTATGTTTAGTAAGAAGAGAAAATAATTCTATTAGAAGAAACTGCTTTTATATTCTGTTTTTATATATTTTATCAACTGCTTTTAAGAAATGGATGAAGAAATAAAGATGAATCACACTTTACAGTGCTAAGGGATTTGCACTTCCAGCATGGCTTTTGTAGGGTTTTAAACTAGTTATATAGAGAAGAAATATTTTTAAACAGTTATGACCTTCTTTTCAAGAAATGATTCATATATAAGAAAAGTTTACACTGCATTCAACAGAGAATAATTAAAATAACTACCTCTTAACAGAGGACAAAAAGAATATTTGCTATCTAAATAAAAGTCACTATTAAAATTAATCTTTCAAGGTATAACATCTGCCCTGATTTCTTGTCCTGAAATGTTAATATTTTTAAAACCAATAACACTAGGTTCAAAAATATTTACAAAAAACTGTCATTTACAGAGGATGCTTTTGAACAACAGTTTTGGGCTTTTACTACGGCAATTCTATTATTTTAACATAGTGCTAGTTTTCTATTCTATTATTTTAAAATTGTTACTATAAATGAAGCTTTTGACTTAGATTTTGCTTTAAGCAAATATTTGTTTCACTATACGAACAAGAAAAAAGGAATTCTAATTTACACTTACTATTTTAATTTTGCAGTTTATCAAATACTAGGTTAGTTATTTAAAAAAAAAATAACTACTTACCAAATCTGCTGCCTCAGAATTAGAAACTTGTACTATATTTAGAACGTATTTGATAAAAAGATCTTTGATATGCCTTATTGATGCATTAGGCACAAAAAAATAAGAATTTTCTTGAGCATTATTTAACTGCTCAGCAATAACATCTAGAACAAGTAACCTACAGAAAAGGAAGTAATAGATTTATACCAATTTCAAAAGACTCATAACAAAATGAACAAAAAACTTATTTCACTTTCCATTTTAGCACTAGTTCTTTTTTAAACAAATAATCAAATCATAAAATTTAATTTAGAGTTATTAAAATTTTTTATTATATATTACAAAACAGATGAAAAATCATCAGATATTTGACCATAATCATTTTAAACTGCTTCATATATTTAAGGTAGATTTCACAATCCATGTAAGACCTAAAGCATTAAAAAGCCTTATTGCAAAGATGCATGTCTGCTGGGAACACAAGTTATCTTCATGAATCCATTTAATTTATCTTAATTACAAATGGATATTGCATATCCTTTACGTTTAAAGCATAAATAATGAAACACAGGATTTGCATGAAGTTAACCTTGCACACATGCACAACAATTACTAACAATAAGTTATTTGCTAATAACTAACTTGCTAATAAACTGAAGCCAATAAATTCAGATCTTTTCTCCAAGTGCACTAAATCAAACTTTTAATTCTAAATCAAATTCCACCAAATTTTAAAATAAATAAAACATCTTTTAATTACTGTAAGAAAAATTAGAAGATATTGGACCTACTAAATGTCTATAACTATTAGCCCTCCTTCTACAGAAGATTGTATTCGCTCTCGAAGTTTAGTGATTATTTCGTTTCCTGTACTATTTTTTTAAAAATGCAGGTGTAAAATTTTATGCTCGATTAGAACATTTTTGGAATGCAAAATGGAGGAACCAAATGTCAGGTAATGAGCAGCTCATTTTTTTAAAATTCATTTCAATTGTAGTTAGGCAAATATGATGTACTGAGTAATTCTTTTTACCTAAAAACAGCACTGTATTTATTTGCAAAGCCACTTCATTTTTAAATATATATGCATACAAGCTTACAAAACTAATGCATATTTTCAAAAAGGGCTTAATTTGATTAAATATTATCTACTGTTATTATATATAAAAATTATCTATTGTTATAATATATAAAAAATTATCTATTGTTATATAAATTTTTTAAAATGAATAAATAAATAAAGGGCTTTGCTCTTTTTGACAATCTTAAGAGATTCCAAAACACATACAAGGTTAAAAGATTAAAAATGGTTTCATACCAAACAATAGCCATGCAAGAGAAGAAAAGGGTTATGCAAATACATATTTCTTTTTTCTCATCACATTAAAAACTTGACATAATCACTGTCATGATGAAATTAAAGGAATCTGTGGCATATAACTTCAAAAATGCAAAATTTATTCTTGTAATACTTGCTTGACAGAAAAAGTTCTGCCTGAATTCTTGCATCAGGATCTGAATTCCTTCATCACACACACATGCAGCATTTTGATTACAGTATATATACTTCTCTAGTATCAATTACATTATATATGTTTCTCTAGTATTAGCAGCTCTACTTCTAAGATGGAATATATAAAGAAAAAAATAATAACTAGCCCAAATTCTGAAAAAGCACTTTTGTTTTTCAATTACTGTGTTACTGTGTGAAACAGTGAAATTACTGTATTACATCTGTGCAAAATTTTGTATATGTATCCCATTATGTTTGTAAAAGTGCTTTTTAAAATTGCATAAATTGGAAATGACCAACATAAACCTCCACTAACAGAATTTATCATCGCTGACTGTAGATTTCCTAAATGTTTTGCCTTTTATACTTTATTTCCACACTTTTGCCTTTAATACTTTATTTCAAAAATTAATTTTAATGAACCTTTTTTTCCATGAGTGCCCAAGGTATTGCCATAAACTAATATTTTCTTTTTAACCTTAAGACTTGAGGATTTAAATACATTTATTTATTTATTTTTCTAGAAAAGTATATTTATTACAAATGCCACTTTTGAATTTCTTTATGCAGTTGCATCTTTGATCTTTAAAATGATGTTCTATTCGCATAACTATTTAAAAAGATTACTCAAAATTATTACAAGAATCATGAAATAACCACAGTTTAATATTCCAAAGCATATTTCTTAATATGTGTTATACATAACATATTGTACAATCTGTGCCCTAAACACCCTACTCAAATTTGCTACTAGGAGTATGGAACTTGGTCACTACTTATGTAAACAATAAAATCTATTTCAGATAATATGTTTAAAAATAATTATTAGAAAACTGCTGCTGAATGCAAATGCTTATTAAAAAGAAAAAAAAATCTATTTAAACCTATATAGATATTTACTATGATTATTGACATGTTCTTTTTATCTCTTTCTTCCCCTTTTTTCTTAATTTGTCCTTCAAAAGAATCATTAATTTTTCTGAGGGAAGAATAAGTGCAAGTTACCAAATTTAAAGACTTTAATCACCTCTGAAAATCATATTTAAATTTTTTGCATAAAATCTGCAAGTATTACATGAGCATGTATACGACATTTTAAATGAAAATTCAAGGAAAAGACAATACTCAAAAGAAAGATGACAAAACATGAAAACTCAACTGCAGCATTGTTTAATCAATCAGAAAAACTGATAAACACACAATTCATGGTCTATTTGCTTGATCAATCACATCAGAGATTTGTTTCAAACTGGAACAAATTTCAGTTTGCTGTATTACTACTATAAATCTGCTATCATTGCAACTATAGATATTTTTGGTGATTATAAAAACATAAAAGGCAGCAAATGAATTTCTAATCCAATCAAGTTAAATTTCACGAATCTAGATCTAAAATACCCAAACCAATGCTGATTATCTGCTTCAAGTAAACTTAACCAAAGATGTCAATTACATTTTCTATCATCCATTGTGATGCATATTGTTTCTTAAAAAGAGATAATTTTTAATTTCTGAACATATAAAATGCAAAAACTCTCATGAGCATGTAAAACATGTGATACATATAAGATGTTCAATGGATGAATATCTTTTTTTTAATACACAAAATTGCAGTCAGAAAACAAAAATATGGTATTGAATAATATACAGCTATGTAACATATACTAATACATCATAATCAAAAGCAGGATATATACGAAATCTCAGTTTTTCAAAGATATTTTACTTGCAGTTTAAATTTCTCAATGAAAAATGTTTTAAAATGCTGTTTCAATGATAACTGTATCTCAATATGCATATTCAACAGTACATGCTAACAATATAATTAACAGAATTTTGCAGTACTTAGTCTTACATGTGTTTTTGCCTTTTTTTAATGTGTAATGACTTCATGATGTATTATTAGAAACACTATCATGAGCCAAAAATGTATTCTACATCAAACTGTACCATCTTACCTATTTTTAAGGGGCAAAATATTATAGCATTTATCCATGAAATCTCCTTGCTTCATTATTAACTCCAAAAAAAGAATGCTATAAATAAAAACTGTGATTAGAGTTTTAAAAAAATTACACAATACTAAAAGTAAAACATGAGAATTATTTTTTTTAAGATAAAACATAATAAAAACCTTATAATCAGAGTGAATGAGATGTCAGTGAATAACAGATTCATTAAAATTCCCCAACTGTGGTCTGATAATATTTTAACTCTCAATTTATGCACTTAATTATCAAGTGGTTCTTCCATTATATCTATGTATTCAAAGCCTTCCATTTTGTGATCAACTTTGTATGAAAACTAACATTGTTCAAGGAGTGCTGAATATTAAATTTTGCATTTTGGAAGGAACAACAATGTATGGAAATCTATAAAACATCGAAATGGCTTATAGGGTGGCAAAATTCAGTAGCTGACAAAAGTCTTTGAACTACAAGTATTGTAACATACTCCTTTTATGAATTATAATAAAATGTTAACTTTTACTTAACAAATGTTAGAAAAAAATAATCTAGCATTTCCTCCCAGTTAAGGTAATTATAAAGCATTTAATATATATAAATAATGAATTTAAATGTTATTATATGGTTATAAGTTAATATAAAAACTGTAGTTTATGAAGGATTGTGATTCAATTTTATATTAATAAATTATTAAATTCTATAAAAAAAATTTCATTAAGATGTTCGTGAAGCTTACCCCCAATCAATTAAGTCAACACATAAGCTATTTGTGACAGCTATAAGAATTTCTTGACCTTCTTTTGTATTGACTATGGTTCTGGAACTTTCTTCAGACATGCAATTATATAAAACCATCATTGAATATTCTTGAACCTTTTTATCTTCATTTTGAAACAAATAACTAGAAAGGAGCATGTAAATGAGAAAATTATATTAACAACACATGAAACAATCTATTCAATAAAAATCATTCTTAATTCTAATCCAGCTAAACTATTCATGAAATAAATGACAAAATAAATACTTTTTACAGATTACATATTTCAGAAGTTTTTATATTAAAACCTGATATTTTTTACACATTTGGTTCTTTATTTTCTTGCCCTTTTATAAATATAATATCACAGCTGCCAACTTTGATTTTTTTTTTTTTTTTTTTTTTTTTTTTTTTTTTTGTGTGTGTGTGTGTGTGTGTGTGTGTGTGTGTGCGCGTGCGCCTCAAACCGACAGTTTCCTGGGAAAATTTGCGCTGCACAATGGCACCATTCCAAAAGAACTGCAAATTCATTTTAATTTGCTTTTTAAGCAAAATTTAGGTTATTCAAATATTTATTATATGATTCTAGTGTAAACTATATTAATATTTAATTAGATATTTAGAATTTTATGCTCATTGATTAGTTTTATTTTGTAATTTTCTTATACTTTTAAAATGAGAAAATCCTGAGCAGGGAAGGAAAGATTTAATTCATCAAAGTAAGCATGAAAAAATCAAATGAATAATTAGTGTAAATAAGCGTTAGTAACTTCATAAAAACTGTGTAAATAAACTCAGTAAGCCATGCATTAATGTAAATCAAAATTAAATGCAAATATTAGCTGAATCTTCATATGAAGTTCTAGAAATGTCTACAGCGGATTAGGACAAGGGAGATCATAAAATTTAGTAAGAAAAATAATGCTAAAAATCATTAAAGGTGGTAGAAATTTGCATTACTCAGATTTCTTTGATTTAATAAATTTCATTTGTGGTTAAAAAACACTTTTATTAGTAAAGGTTAAAAATTAAAAACTAAAAAAATGGCGACCTAGTGGGAAACTGGGAGATGCTATGAAAAACCAGAAGTCTCCAGGTAAAACTGGGAGAGCTGGCATCTATGAAATATACTTTTATGTTTCACTGCATATTTATTATTATTTGTCTAACTACCATTTGCTCTCTTAATTTTGATGAACATTATATACTTAGTTTATTACACATATGCAAAAATTAACCAAATTAATTCAACATTAAAAATATCAATTTTAACAATGAATAATTCTCACTGTGTGAAGATGGAATGAAGCATAAAGAAATGGAAAATAGACTATTAAGTAAAGCTGGTCAAAATCAAAAGGGAAGGGCACATGCAATATGAAATGAGGGATAAATCTTATTTTACACAATCAGTATTTAATTCCTTTTTCTGATCACATATTAGAAACATCCAGATAATATGTTACATTCATCGAAAGAGAAATAAAATAGCTTACATAAATGTCTTGTCTTCAAAAAACAATTGCCATACAACAGGTTTTGATTCACTTCCAGTGCATAATAAATTCCCAAACAACTGAACACAACACTTAAGAACAGCAATTTCTGGAAGAAAATGAATTCAGAGTTAGAAATAATTTCCTGCTTTTTGTTATAAACAATGAAAACTACTGAAAAACTGTAAACAGAAGTAATAATTGTGTAAACACATAAAGTATTTCTTAGACTATAATTCCTCAGTATTAAAATTATTGTCCTATTTTCATAAATTACAGTGGTGGCCAAAATTGTGGACACTTTTGGAAATTTTTATGTTTTTGAACTTTGTATGCTTATAGAAAACGTTATGTTTCACTAATTGCAAACTTGTATACAGTCAAAAGTCGTTAATCGGGACTCGTCAGGACTTCGGCGATTCCGGATTATCGATTTTTCGGATTATAGATCATCAGTTTAAATATGGTAAGATGGCACGCAGAAATTACAAAATTAAAAATATGAGAAAATAATTTATGAAATAAAGAACAATTATGATCTAAAGGGTATCAAAATTTACAAAAAGAAAAAGCTTAATATTTATGTGTTTACTTTATTAAACATTTCTTTCAATGTGAGTTGTTTAAGTTGCTTCATTTCATGTGATAATACTTTCTCTTTAATTCTATTAAACAGACATAATTTCTTGTTTAGTTACAAAGTTCCGCTGTTCAAGTCCTATAATTACTGTGTCGAGAATACCGAATAATTCGTCAATCAAAATTTTTTCGTTTTCAATACCTCTGTGTCACTTTCTTCACCATTGGAAGCGAATTATAATGACGAGGAACTTGATTTAAATCATATCAAAGACGGAGTACATCGAGATGAAATACTACATTTAGTAAGGAATTATAAGCCAAATAAAATAAAAACATCTGCCCTGAAGATAAGGATAGTGCTGACAGATCAACTTCCAATTCATTGCGTGCCGCAGAGGCGGTGGGGGGTAAACGTTCCCCCCATTTCTAAATTCCTCAAGTAAATCATCCTCATTGCCATGTTCTAGTAACAATTTTTGCTAACACTATGCTTTTTACCAATAGCCCCTATAATACCATGTTTATGTCTTTCATTTTTTGTTTCTCAGTAGCTCTGTAGAATAGCATTTCTATTTTCAGATTTTAATTGCACTTCTCCCTCATAATTCTTATAAAAAAAGAATGAAAATTAATTGATGTATAGTACGAAATTCTATTTTGTAAAAGGAAAAGTAACCACTCTTCCCATTTCTATTTCCTTAATCCAATACAAATTTATTAATTGGACAATCATTTCAATGTGTAGGAAGGAAGAAATCAACACTCACATCAATATGTCATATTGCTTCAATTATTTACAGTACAAGTACAAAGTCCAAAATCCAAACTTGTCAGGACTTTGACGATTCCAGATTGGGTATTTTTCTGGATCATCAGTTTAAAACTTATAAGATGGCATGTAGAAATTTTAAACTAAAAAATCTGAAATTATGATTTATGAAATAATGACACATTATTCATGATCTAAAGCAGAGGTTCTCAACCGATGGTGCGCAAGAGAAAAATAGGTGGTGCACAAAGAAGCAAAGTATTTTTAACTATTAAATTCAAAAATTAAAACCCCAACATCCTGATTGAGTTTTTTATCTAACACTCGTAAATTTATGCAATCTGAGTTTTGTTCAAAAATGGTGGTACTAAAGGTTTTCAATTTTTGTTTAGATGGTGGTTGAGAACTGCTGATCTAAAGGGTAACAAAATTTACCAAAAAAAAGAGTTTAATATTTGTTTAATTTATTAAACATTTCTTTCAATGTAAGTTGTTTAAGTTGCTTTTTTGTGCTAATATTTTCTCTTTAATTCTGTACATAGATATAATTTCTTATTCAGTTACAAAGTTAAATTGTTCAAGTCCTGTAATCACTGTGTCAAGAATTCCGACTAACTTGTCAAATGAAATGTTTTCACTTTCAATAATCTCTCTATCACTTTCTTCACTATTAGTAGCAGTATTTTCTGGATATAGAACCATACTACAGATTTCGCCAACCATTAATTGATTGATAATTGAGGCATTATCATTGCAATGAAAAACTTCTATTATATCATCATTTATTACCACTTCTCCAGGTTTCTTCAACAATTCCATTAATTGGAAGATTTAACCTTTGGCATGTAAAAACCTTTACATTCACTGCTATAATCTTCACAATCCTCGCCATGAAATATGGTAGTTGGCCATAAACTGCCTGAAATTCTTAATTGCCTTATACCATGGTTATTTTTAAATGTGGTTAACAAACATGTCGAATATGTGCACTCAGCTTTTAAGTTCATTTCTTAATGAGATATTTTAGCTTGAGACATTAGCATTTGACCTGTCTAGTTGCCTAGTTGTGACACTGTCTGACCAATTCAGTCATCACTTTGTCATGATCTTTACTTTTAGCATAACAAATCATTTTTTGTTATTCATTGCGAGTGGGGTGTCAGAATCCACAAAAATTCAAGTTTCTTTTTCTGTTTTCTTATGTCGTATACAGTTGACTTTAGAGTACCATTCTTTTTTTCACTTTTTTGCAGCACACATTCAATTTTTGTTTAATGGACATCAAAACATGATTTCACTTTGTAGATCCTATTGCAGATCCAGAATTAGAAATTCTTTTCAACATAATCGAAAGTTGAAACATTAATTTTCATAAAATTGCTGTAATAAAAACAGCTTGCAAAAATTAATTAAGCTGGATCAAATCAGAAAGTTAAGAAACTGCGCAATATATTGACTGAAATTCCTTGGAATCAGTAAAGTATTTTAGCTTATCTTAATAGCATCTGCTATACATTATTGGCTATGTATCATGAGATAGGCGATGAAAGAGAAGTTGTTCTGCTAAATTTTTGTCTTGCTTCAATTGCACACCGAGACAATTAAGCCTGGATTGTATTAGTTAGTTATTTATTATACTTACGTCTATTTCTTGAACATGCTATGAGCCCTGAATAAATAAATTTCCAAATAATATACTTAAGTCTTATTGAGGGCCAGCGCTAGATAGCTTACCATCTGATGCAGTCTTTGTGGGTCCTAAATTCTGTTACCAAATGCCTCCCTAAGTTCTAAATTTTTGCTGCCTCTAAATTTTGGGTCCTAGTGCTGCATTTAAATATATTTTCATCCCTTAGTTTTGTTGTTCGGTGCTTCTCTAAATTAAAAAAATGTCTTTCCTAAATTCTTGTCTTTCCTAAATTCTGCGGTCCGGTGCAACCATATGAACTTTGGTGCCGGTTCTGGATTTATATGAAGTCTTTTAGCTTATGAATATCATTAACAAAATCTATTTTTAGCATATGGAAAGAGATTTTTATTAAATTTTTCCTCATCAATATTTTTTAGCGCATTTAACTTAAATCTCTAATCATTGCCAAGTGTAATGTCAACATAAAAGGTTACCATATTCTTTGTTATTAAACTACTCACATGAAAATATTATTTAGACATTGCTGCATGAGTCATTACTCAAGCTGTCATGTGCTGATGTTTCTACTACCTAGAATGTTTCAGATACGCAACTACGAAGCCAAACTATTGATCACACAAATTTATGCTAAATTATTGTTTCTTCAATAAAAAGGTATTTATTTAGTGCCCGAGGAAAATTAAAAATCGGGACTCCACATGTATTATTTATGGGGAAAAATCAAATACGCATACATAATTAAAAAAAAGTTGTTGGCAGTTTTGGGGTCCGGATTTTAGATCATTCCAGATATTGGATGTTCGGAACTCAGACTTTGTACTGTACTACTAACGAAGAAATGAGAAGAAAATCGTAATATCTATATTTTTATTAAAATAATTCAATTTATTATTCACAATTCCATTTATGAGGTATTCAATTTATTATCAATAACAACATCGATTTATGCATATCTCCTTAAACCTACTGAATGATACGGCTTTTTGAAACTGCTTATGAAACCTTGTATTATTTAAACAGCATTCAAAAGCTAAATTTGCATAATTACTCACTTTAGTCTCTATTTTCATAATTTTCCATTAATTAAGATGACATTTACATCATGAAAAAAAAAGTAAGAAAGGAAATTATTTTGAATTATAAGTCAATATATGAGATAAAAGCAATCGTGCCACTCAGAGGGTTAAATAAATACCAAAATTTGGTTTCTCCACACTTTTAGTATTTGCATAGTAAATCAGAGATTAGACAGGTAACATACTATTTTCGTTATCTTAATGCATCATCTTCAGTGTGGAAATTAATAGTAATACAATATTTTCAAACTGACTAAATGCTCCAATATGGAATTTTTCATACAGAAAAAAGGAAAACTAGAAAAAAAAAAAAAAAAAAATTGCATGAAGATTTTAAGATACACCTAATTTTTAGAGATGCTTAAGCAGGACAAGTTCAAGGCTCCTTACCAACTGCAATGCTCATACTGCAAAAATACTAATAAAGAATAATTTTTCACTAAAACAATACTGCTCAAATTTTTTAAATCTTGTATATACTTTTTTTCCAGCGTATAACATGTATCTATAATTTGAGGTATATATTTTAATTTTTAGGTATATTCATCATATAACATGCACCCAATTCGTTAGGAAGAAACCTAAAAGGCATATGTGAAATGCTCTTCTTGTCTTCGGAGGTCACTTATTCGAAGATTTGTCCCAGCTTTTTGAACAATGGTATACTGAATTGACATGTGATAAGAGGAACAATATGTGTGGGGGTTAAATGCTTGAGGGAGTAAATATACCTGCAAAGAGAGTGCATTATATTCGGTACAAGTATCCAAATGAATGCTATTGTAGGATTTTGAGAAAAGGGATTATAATTTGTAGTAAGAATGCACTCCCTGAAGAATTCGCGTAATTCTGATTCAGATGTTTCCTCTTTCTGTAGTCATTTGAAGCCGTGATTTTAAGTGAACATTGAAGGTTTTAGTTAAAATACGGTTGATCTAGAGTTCTTCTTAGTAGTAAATATAGCACCTGCCAATAAAACAACACAGTGCTGGTTTCAAATGCAAAGTCATACACTTTGCGAAAGAAAATAG